TTTGGAAACCTGCCAGAGCGCTTACCCGGCTGGAAGGTTAATGAAGACTTCCGTTCTGTGTTTCATAACAGTAGAGTTGTTTTCACCATCAAAGACAGAGGTCACAGATGAGTGCTGAAAAGATGTGGTCCAGCAAGGTTCTGTAGTCCCACCTCAGTGCCTGTGGGCTGTGTTTTTAACTGTAACTAATCAGTGTTTACCTTTCGCAAGCACTTTGGTAAACTAAAAAGAAGAAAGTATTCTCAGGATGTGTTCAGAGCTGAAAGCGTTTTCATTTTAAAAAGAAAACATACTTCGTGGCTTTCCTTATTCTCCTTTTTTCTTCTTGGTGGGAAGCTGGACACAGGGCATGCATCATTCTGTATGGACAAATGTGTTAATATCCACCCATGCTCTTGTGACGACGCCCCAGCACTGTCCCCCAGTACCATGCTGGCCTTGGTAATAAAACTCCTTGTTATCTGTGGGAGTCATCTTTTTCTATGCCCTAAGCTGCTTTTAACCACTTTTCTCTAGAATGACTACCACATTTGATTTGATATTGAAAGGGTAACAGCAAAATGATTGTGGAGATGGATCTATTAGGTCTCATATTCGTCCCTTGGTTGAAACTGTTTTGAAAAAAGCCCCAACAATGGGCCTGTCACCTTGCTAGTCATCCATTCTTAATGCCTGTCAGCCCTCTGAGGTCATATAAAAGTTACACCTTTTGAACCAAGTATTTGTATTTACTATGGGAAAGGTGTGGACTAGAGATTAGTATTATATTATTTTAATGGATTTTAAGTAATTTATAAATATGCTGAGTGTAAATTTTTAAAAGACCATGTATTGTAAAAGAACATATCCTGTGAAATATAACATTTTACTGTTTAATAGGATAATTCTATAAGAAGAATGATTTATCTCACCCACGGAACTGATTACATTCCGGATGCAATCAACGGGCACTTTGTAATTTCCTTTTTGTTTTTTTCTTTGTGGGGGGTTGAGGGGTAACAAGACATCATCTGTATAAAGTGCAGTTTGTGTTACTCAAAATATGCACTGTATGGCTACACAAAAGCAGCTTGATGAACAAATCACCCCATGGCTCATTAAAGAACAAAGCTTCCAGAAGCAGCAATATGTGTGGTTTGTCTTCCATCCATCCTAGCTCCCACTCCAACTTACTCCGGTCCAACTCCAAGGAACAGCAGTGACTTCTTAGTTACACTAATGTGTGTTCAGGAAAGCACTCAACCCCAGAATGACCAGGCACAGAAGTGGCAGTCCCTGGAACTCACCTGAATTCAAGTGAAGCTGTGATTCAAGGTTTCATTTGTCTGTAGTAGATGCAGGCTGCTGGCTGTCAATAATTCATTAAATTGGTTTAAGGCTTAAAGGGCAGGAAAAGCAGTCTTCTGCATTTAGGATCGTCCCCTAAATTGGTGACCTGAAGTAGTAGTAAAGTTGCTAATAGCTGGTTCAAGGATTTTCACTGAAAAGCAGAGCAACACATTGCAGTAGAAACAAATTTTAACTCTCATTTTTGTTCTGCCACCAACTTTACTGCATGACTGGGAATGGCTAAAGGATGTTAGTTTTCCTATCTGGAAGCCAGTTCTCTTTCCCAGATTCCCATCTCTGGAGATCTCCTGCCGACCCTCAGGTTTTAGTGTAAAAAGCAGTTGTCCTGGGAGGTTTGCTTTAACCCTGTGAATTGGATTGGAGGCCTGTGTTGTCAACAGCTCTTGAGTATTCTCGGCGTCAAACACTTGCTTGTCTTGCTCCCAGCACCTAATAAGAGTGCTGGACACTTAGATACTAGATGAAAGACTTGACCTACGATCAGTGGTTTCAAAATGCCAAATCAGTTTTTTTTTTCTAGCCAAATATATTTTATTTTTAAAATTGTGGGGTCATCCTCACTTCTTTTTACATTAAATTTATTTACATTTTTGCATTAAATTTCTATTACACTGAAATATGAATAGTGTTAATTGTTTAAAATTTCCTTAGTTGCCCAAATAAAACCTAGAAATACCACTTTTATTTTTTTGAGACGGAGTCTTGCTGTGTCACCCAGGCTGGAGTGCAGTGGCGCAATCTCCGCTTACAGCAACCCCCACCTCCCAAGTTCAAGCAATTCTCCTGGGTCAGGCTCCCAAATAGCTGGGACTACAGGCACGTGCCACCACGCCTGCTAATTTTTCTATTTTTAGTAGAGACAGTGTTTCACCATGTTGGCCAGGCTGGTCCGAACTCCTGACCTCTGGTGATCTGCCCACCTTCGCCTCCCAAAGTGCTAGGATTGCAGGTGTGAGCCACCCTGCCCAGCCGAAATCCATTCTTAAAACTTGCCCCTGAGATTACTGAGTCTACAACTAACTATTGTGATTATGAAGACCTGAGAACAGAAAGGTATAATGAGATGCAAGTTATAAAGAGACTAGAGCTTCGGTGTGGTTTGGTTTTTAAAATGCTTTTGCCCTAGAATGGGTGGCAATACAGTGTCTTAGAGCAGAGACAGAACCATGAAAATAGATAAGGTATATGTAATACCTGACTGTTGAATCTTGTAGGTGTCTCACTCTCAGTCGAGGAGTGTGTCACTTCCAGGTAGTGCCCACAGGCATTATCCTAGGTGCTTAGGGTACATTAGTGAACAAAACAAAGGTCCCTGCCCCGTAGAGCCTGCATTCTAGTGGAGAACACCAGTGATGTCCACCAGATAGAGACAATACCTGGGTTTGACCATCAGGTTACATTTAAATGAGCACTTCTTGGCATCTTGAGTTTTTCCCTGCCCTTCCTACCTTAAAATACCCCCTTGTGGGTTGAGAAGTGTCTCATGAATCTAAAAACTATCTTTATTTGAAAAGAAAGGCTCAGATAGTCCCACAGGGTCTACCTCTGTGGTGCTTCATAGCCAAAGACATTTCTGGCATTGAGAAAAAAAAAAAAAAAAAAAGCTTTCAAATTATCTCCTCTCCTGACAAGGACCCTAAATGCAATGAAAGAGCCATTACTCATCAGAATTTCAGTAGAGCCAATCAACAAAACCTTGAGTAAATCTTGGGATATGCTGAGAGCTGTGCCATCTTAGGAGAATGGAGGCCACTTCGTATTCCAGGTGAGATGGACTTAGTACAGAAATGAGGAACTAACGAAGGTCAGAGATGTCCCCACAGGTCAAGAGAGCCAACGTTAATCTCAGCTAAAAGTTCCAAAGTTCTCAAGAGCTTGCCTGGAAGCTATTACAATTCTAGCCAAGAGACAGCTGTGAAATCTATTTTCCCACAATGTGGCTGCAGTGTCTCCAAAGAAAAATGGCTTCTCTTTTTCCTGATGCCAAATTTAATCACTTTGGTATTAGGGGGAAAAAAAAGTTTCCTGTGAGTGCCTAGCAAAGCCTAGGGGAAGGGGTTTCTGGGAAATCCCAACAATGAAGAAAAGCCCTTAAAAGTTGAGGAGTGGGTAGTTGTATTGATGCCAGATTGACGGCAGACAATCCAGCTTATGTACCTCTAATTGTCTAAGACTTCTTCCTGGAGAGCCCTCAAATCTCCTTCCCAATGTGGATGTGCTGTGCTCACACATCCCAGATGCTAGCCTGTGGGCTTCAGCAGGCTACCTTTGCAGTCTTACCATGTCCTCCAAAGCCACACTGTAAGCTAAATATGCAGGGCTGGTCTGGTCACCTTTCAACCATGTGTCTTCCTAATGTGGCTTTGCTCAGGCCTCAGCTCTTACGGATAAAACTTTTGATAGGGAATTGGGTAGTAAATGGCATCATAGACATTAGATGACCTGATTAACTGAGGCCACTCTGATACTTTCAAAAGTTGGACAATCTGAAGTAGCTTGGGGGCTGAAGAAGGGCTTCATCTGGGCAGCATCTGCCATACTCTTTCCTCTCTGGGCACCAGCCCTAGCTGTTCTCAGTTCCCGAAGAGACGGGGCATTTCTGTCAGCTAAGGGAATTCAAACACAACCCAAAGGACAGCGAACCCCTAGGATTTCTCAGACTTCTCACATGATCTTTTCTGCCTTGATTTCAAGCACTTACCCTTTGAAGGCAGAAAATGCAACAGAATTGTTCAGTCTTTCATTCCAAAGGGGAAGGGGAAGTGGGAAGGAGGTGGTGCCAGAGTTCATAGCATTAGGTAGAGTCACACCAAGGTTTGAGTCATCTCCAGGCATCAGTTTTTTCATTTATAAATGGAGATAATTAGCTCTTCCCTCAGAGTTAATCTGAGGATTAAATGACAATTTTAAAAGTGCCCAGCTCACTGCCTGCTATTAATGTATGCATTGCCTGAGCTATGTTAACGTGTTAAAATATTATTTTCACAGTCGTCTGGGTCTATCTTTGAAAAGGATGAGGTTTGGCCAGGCACAGTGGCTCACGCCTCTAATCCCAGCACTTTGGGAGGCTGAGGGGGTGGAGCACCTGAGGTCAGGAGCTTAAGACCAGCCTGACCAACATGGAGAAGTACAAAAAATACAAAATGAGCCAGGCCTGGTGGGATGCCTGTAATCCCAGCTACTCAGGAGACTGAGGCAGGAGAATCGCCTGAACCCGGGAGGTGGAGGTTTCAGTGAGTTGAGATCACACCATTGCACTCCAGCCTGGGCAAGAAGAGTGAAACTCCATCTCAAAAAAAAAAAAAAGAGTTTCATCTGAGCTTTATCTTTCCATAAGGACCTAAGAAGTAACAAAGAGTCCCCTTCACAAAAAGTACCTGGAGCTGCCTTACGTGGAGTTGGAATTTTCGCCTTTACTTAGGAAGGAGACAGGAGATAAAGGTTGAGAGATGCTGCAGATGATGGGATGCCACCTGGAGAGAAGCTGGGTGGTTGAATTCTGTGGGAGACTTTCCACTGGGCTTGAATGCGTTGCACCTGGACTCTGACTTGGAGCGGAACCCAGATGGAACTCAAAGTGCTCATTCCTTCAGTGTCCTGAAAGGGAAAGCCTTGACCACACTCGTTTTTTCTGTTTTTTTTTTTTTTTAACTTTTTTATTGAGGTCTAACAAAATAAAGTGCACAGCTCATTGAATTTGTACATATGAATACATTTGTGAAACTACTGCTCAGATCAAAATCAGTAACATTTCTATTCCACCAGAGGGCTCCCGTGGGCCCCTTCAGAATCAATCCCCCACCACCTGGAAGTAATCACTATTCTAACTTGGGTCACCATCAGTTAATCTTGCCTGTGCTTGAACTCTGCATAAATGGAACTTCGGCCTGGCTTCTTTCATTCAACTTTTAGGTCTGTGACCCATGTTTACCCATGTTGTCACATGTATCCGTAATTCATTCTTTTTAAATTAGTTTTCATTATATGAATGTACCACAATGTGTTAATTCATCCTACCATCAATGGATAGTTTGGGGCTATTATGAATAAAGCTGCTATGAATATTCTTACAATATCTTTTGGTGAGCATCTCTGCTGGGTACACACACCTACCTACAAGCAGAATGGCTGGGGCAAAGAGTAGGCAAATGTTTCACTTCAGTAGATCGTTCTCCAGAGTGCTTGGAAACATTTCACGTCTGCTTGCACTAGTTTTTGAACATATCACAAAGGAGCTTCTCCATTGGAGTATTCCCTATGGTCTTGCGAAAAAAGAGCAGCTCGATGCGTTCCGCGGTGATGAACCTCAAAGACGGGAGGAGTAGCAGCAACTTCCCAAACCTGAACAGGAGAGAGGACACCATCAGTTTTATGACCAGCTGCTGAGCACTAGTCCTTGGGGCGGTGCCCTCCCCGGAAAGGCAGTGGAGGAAGGAGAGGAGAGATGAGGTCTCCAGGGCGGGTCAGGAGGAATTTCAAGGAAAAGCTACATTCACCAAAGCAGTTGCCTTCACCTACCTCGACCCATTGTGAGCCACCACCCCCCATTTAGTTTAGGAGTGCAATGAACATAATGAGTAAATATTGTTTATTATAGGTAAAGATTATAAAGTGAAATTTATATTAACTTTATACAGACGGTTTGACTTTATCAGGGTGTGAAAATGATAAGCATTCAGTTGCTCCTTAAGATGGGTTATGTGTGAAAATTCATCTTCACCTTACAGTAGCTTCAGCTTAATGGGTTTATCCGGACTTATCCCCATCATAAGTCAAGGAGCACCTGTATATGAATATATTATTATGAATCATATATATGAGTATTATGATAATCGTGTTATTTATTCTTTATAGGTAAGAATATGTTTATAAGAATACAAATTCCTGCCTGTAAACCTCCTAGGATGATGAGAGCCATTACTGAAAATGTCCTGAAGTTGACAGATAATTTTGGTGACTGAGACAGTCATTGAGAAACATGTTTATTGTTTTAAATAAGGACTATTTGCTAAGTCAGGAGTCTGTAACACAAAAGATGGATGGTGAAGCCCCAAGAGACAGATGGGGGGACCAAACCTTTCCTGGGTAGTTCTGATGGCCCAGCAGCAAGGAGGCTCCTCCCACATCCAGCAGCCCATGCTCTACTCACCGTGAATTTCGGGGAGGACTTCCCCACCACCCAGTATCTGCTGGACTTCCTTTGCCAATCTAAGGCCTTCCTTTCTCTTGCTAGTGCCAAGTGAGCAGCCCTGAGCAAGCCATATACCCCTCCTATCTGCCTTCCCTGCTTCTGTTTTTCTGATCAAAAAGTGGGAGGAAGAAGAAATAACTATGAAATCAGAGAATGTTTTTCCAAACTGCAGGTATTGCCCCACTTCGTGGGTCTGAAATTAAATTCCGTAGGTCACAATTAGCCTTTTCTACAAAAATAAAAAAGGACTATCAGGTAAATTGTACAAAGTAAGGGTAGGAATTACTTGGTGGAACTCCACTTCGGTGTCTCTGTGAATCAGGTGGTGATGGTAATTGTGTGGCAGTTTTAAAAACAGAAATATGCTAGATTAGAGAACCCCAAACCATTATTTTCACACTCAGTTCTGCTTGTCGTAGGCCATGAACTGCTATAAAAGGGACACAGGAAACCTTAATCAGCATTTTGAAATTTGATGCTAAATCAATATGCCAGGACATCTCTGGGGAGCTGGTTCCAACAGAAAATTGGCCAAGAAAGGCCACCGATTTCTGAATGTCTCTGATGCTCACTCTGTAGATGCTAAGTCAAGTCTTCATTATTAAGACTTCCTGTGCTATATGGCATATACTTTGTTGCTTTTCTTTTCGTTGTTGTTTGAGATGGAGTCTCACTCTGTCACCAGGCTGGAGTGCAGTTTCACCATCTTGGCTCACTGCAGCCTCCACCTCCCAGGTTCAAGCGATTCTCCTGCCTCACCTTACTGAGTAGCTGGGATTACAGGCACACGCCACCACGCCCAGCTAATTTTTGTATTTTTAGTAGAGCCAGGGTTTTACCATGTTGGCCAGGATGCTCTCAATCTCTTGATCTCATGATCTGCCCACCTCGGCCTCCCAGTGTGCTGGGATTACAGGCATGAGCCACCACACCTTGCCTACTGTGGCTTTTCCTAAAAGGAAATTATCTCTTCTCCTTGTAATCATTTCTTAGATTAGAGGTGATGCAAGGATGCCCACATTAGCGTGCTTCTTCAGAAAGAACTGCTGGGAACCCCAAAGAATGCAGATAACATGGTATAAAATAACCAGTAGATGCCTAAAGGCCAAGCGTTCCAACCTTGTCCGGGATCCACGACATCTGCCGCTGCTGGGCCAGACAGGGTAGTCCAGAGTACTGGCTCCCACCCCACTCTTGCCCAGCCATGCTCAGCCTGCAGCAACTCTCCCCCAAACCTAGCCAGGGCCATCCACGTGCTTGGCATATGTGAGTGCCTCTCTACAGGATGCTCACCGCACCTCCAAAACAGCTTATCATCTTCCCTCAAAACCGTCTTTCTTCCTGGCGTTCCTTTTCATTTTTTGAGTAACTTCTTCCCCCAAAGAGCTCCTCCTCCCTCCTTCCTTACCTTCACACAAACACCCGGTCTGACCCATTCCAACTCCTAGAGTCTCCCTTCCACTCCCCCTGGCCATACCCAAAGATCACAACTCCATGGAACCACCTGGAAGGTGGCAGTAGCTGCCATCCCTTTCTCGGTATCCTCCATACCCATGGCCATGCCAATCTGCATGAGGGCCAGCCCCATGTATGACACTCTTCTGCTCCAAAACCTGCAGTAGCTGCCCTCTGCCTCCCAAGTCAGATGGGGCCTTTGGCTGGCATTCAAAGTCTTGAACAGGCTGGTCCTGGGGTACTTTTCTGGCTTATTCTCCCCATTTCTCACTGGCAGGAACCTGTTATACCTTTAAGGTGGGCTCCTGTCCTGATGAGAACATATCATGCTTTCCCCTCTCTCCCTTTGCAAATGATATTTTCTTTTAGGCTTCTCTTTCCTTTCAAGTCCAGCCCTGTCTCCTCAAAGTCCCTCCCAATCCTGCTTTAGGCTTCTCATGCTGAGGGGTCTCTGTCTCCTGAAGATTTATGCAACCCTCAGTGCCTGGCTAGGGCAGTTTTTGTCTTCAGTGCAGTCACCATGCCAGCTGTCTCTGGAAGGCAGTAGATGTGTCTTATGCTCATCTTGGTCCCCACTCCCCAGGCCTGGCACTGTGCCTGGGACACAGTAGATATTGGCTGTGTGCTGTTGAACTGAGACCGTTGTGCTATCTAACCAGTGAGCCCTGGGAGGGCATGGGAGAGGCAGGGGAAGGGTAAAGAGGGCAGGGACAGACGAGCGGGTGGGCACGTGCTCAGGTCACCTCATGGGCTGGCTGGGGTGATGGGCCTTGCTGTGCTGGCTCAGCATCACTTGGGACTGGTCCTGCAAGGCCTCCACGTGCTCAGGATCCTTCAGGCCCCGTGTCTCTGGGGAGAAGCAGCACCAGTGAGCTTAGCACAGGTTTTGGCTGTTACAAGGCTGGCTATGATGTGGTGGCCCAGGGCTCTGGCTGCACACATGGGTGTGGGGCCCTGTGGGCTGGGCCCTGCCAGGTCCAGGAAAACCACCAGGAGCTCCGTCTGGGGCTCAGGGGCCCCCAGGGGCTCCCAGCCTGCCCTGTCCCCTCACACTCAGCCAGGAGGGTACCCGAGGAGAAGGGAGTCCAGCCTTACTGCTCTCCTCCCGTCCCCCAGGATAGAGGCCTACACACGTCTGCACACGTGGGTGGTGGAGGGAGAGTGAGAGGCAGAGGGAAGTCACTAGAATTCCCATTCAAAGCTTGGGCAAAGGCTCAGCTACCTGGCTTGAAGAGGACGAGGGCCTTCATGCAGGCGAACTCCGTGGGATCCACTGCCAATGCCCGGAAGCGAGAGATAGTTTCCTGCAGGACGCGCGTCTCCATGCTGGCCAGCGTGAGCCGGCCCGGGGCACCACCGGCAGCAGAGGCCTCAGGCGGTGCCAGCAGAGGACAGCTGTCCAGAGGCAGAGACCACTGGATGGCCCCGAGGAGGAAGAGTTCACTCCATGCCTCTTCCAGCAGGATCACCTGTGCTCAGAAAGAGGGTGCCTGTTATGGCTCATACACAGCTTCTCTGGCTCAGTCTGGAGCCTCTGCCACCATCTCAGGCACCCCAGGAATGAAAGCGCTGTCCTGGGAGCCGAGAATGCTCTCCTGACATCAGCCAGGGGCCCAGAGCTCTGGGATTTGGCACCATTTGGCTCAGTTGCTTACCCTCCAAGACTCGCCGGGTTCCATCCAGCGCTGCCACTGGGACATTCAGAAACACCCAGAGCCATGGAAAGCTTGGCAGCCTCAGAGACATGCCCCATGAGTGTCCTAAGTTAAGTGTATTCAACAGACATGGCCTGACTCTTCTGAGCTGCTCTGTCTCAGCACACAGACTGGCCAAGGGGCTGGTTCCTGGTTTTTCTCAAAGGTCTGATTGCTCATTAGAAGCCGAGGGGGTGGCCCAGAACTGGAGAGATTGGATTAAAATGCAAGCCCTTGGGCTCCAAGGGGGCCTAGAGTCAGCCAATCGGGCTGTTCAGGGTGTGCAGGTCACCTGTCACCCACAGAATGTCAGGGCCTCAGGGTCTTCCAGGCACTGCCTTCAAATCCCTGGTCCCTGTCGGTCCCCGGCCATCATCATCTCCTAGGTGGGCACCCCGACCACCATCCCTGCCCCGGAGATGCATACACCCCCACCGTCACCATCCCTGAGATGCACCCCTAGCCATCGCTGACTCAGACATGTCCCTGGCTACTGCCATCCAAGCTGTGTGCGCCTCCATTCATACTGGCATGGGGATGTGCCTGCCCCATCTGGTTGACTCGAGTGAACCGCCTGACCCCAGCTCAGCCTAGCTCCCCAGCAGGCAGGCCGGATGGTACCTGATCCCGGAAGGGCAGGCTGGAGAACACGGGCAGGTTCTTGGCCCACTTGACGGACATGAAGAGCAGGCGAGCTGACGTCTCATGAATGCTGTCCAGGCCGCAGGGGGAGGAAGAGGAGAATGGAGAGGAGGGGAACTCAGGGTCATTGCTGGTGACATCAATATTCTCATCAGCTGTTGGAGGAGGAGGTTGTGATCTTAGCACCTGCTTCTTGGGAGGTGACAGGGACTGCTTGGGGCCCCGGGAGAGTGAGGATTAAATTGAGGTGCTGCGGCCCTGCTGCACCCTCAGCTGCTCTCCCACTTACCATCCTCTGGCTCCAGCTTAGCACAGGTCTCGGCTGTTATAAGGCTGGCCATGAAGTGGTGGCCCAGGGCTCTGGCTGCAGACATGGGCGTGGGGCCCCGTGGGCTGGGCCCTGCTGGGGCCGGGGGAGCCACCAGGGGCTCCGGCCGGGGCTCAGAGTTGGACTCCATGCTGTCCAGGCGGACCTGGGCTGTGCTTCGGGGCTGGCGCTCGTTCTGCACGGCTGGGGAGGCAGGAAGGGTCAGGACGACACGCCAGACCCGCTGCCCATCTCTTGTCATGTTCCCCCGGGCCAGCCCCCTGCCTCACCATCCTGGTTCATGCCCGCCTGCAGGCACTTCTTCAGCCGGCAGGCCTGGCACTGGTTGCGATGGGCCTTGTCCACGGGGCACATCCCTGCCCCCACCTGGCACCTGAAGGCAAAGGGGAGACCCCAGGGGTCAGCGTCCCTCCCAGGCCCTCAAGCATGGGTTTGGACATTTTTGCCCAAGCCTCTCCTCCTCTGAACACTTGCTCAGCCCTCAGGGGCAGAAGCCCAGCAGGGCCCACCGCCCTCACCTGTAGATGAGCCTCCGCCGCACGCTCCTCTTGAAGAAGCCGCTGCAGCCATTGCAGGCGTAGATGCCATAGTGCTTCCCGCTGCTGCTGTCCCCGCACACACGACACTGGAGCGAGGGGCCCACACCTGAGGGGCAGGGGCAGGGCTGGGCCGGGGCAGGGTCACACGCTCCCCTCGGCGCCACAGGTCCCTTGCCCAGTCCTCAGGCCCCGCCCGCCCTCATTTGAACCCACCAGTGACTCTTCCGTCCGAATTGTCTCCTTCATGGTGCGTCCACACCCCAGCCCTCGCCGTCATTCCGTGCCCTTTCTCCTCCCTCCATGGCCAGTTTTCAGCAAGAGTCCAAGCCCTGGCTCCACATCCCCAGCTCCCATTCCTTCTCAGTGGGTGGCATCAGGCTCCATCATCCCACAGAAACATTCTTGTCAACACCACTAGGGACCTCTGTGCTATGAAGCCCTAAGAGACTTCTCTGTTCTCTCCTTTCCCATCCACTGGGCGGTCCTGTCCTGTCCTGGCTCTGCAACCCGTCTGCCCCCAGCCCCGCCCCCGTTGCGCTGTGTTTCTAGGATTCTGGGTTTGCCAGAGGGGCTGGGTCTGACTTGCTCTGGCTCTTTGCATGGTCCCTGAGAACCTCTGGCCCTTATCTAGCTCCCCAAGGGCCCAGACCTGACCCCCGACCTCCAGGAGAAGCCATACCTGTTGGATCCTCCCCCAGGCCCCACCTGCCTGGAGATTCCTTCCTGGAGGCAGCCCCAGCTGCAGGGGCAGCTGCAGCCACGGTGGAGCTCATGGGAGCGCGGCTGGTCTCGGGGTTTTCCTGCGGGAGACCTGGGTTGCTGAGCCGGCCCAGCCTCTGCCTCAGTCCATGAACCTCTGTCTCTCTGTGCCTGTGTCTCTCTTCTCTCTCTGCTCCTCCTTCTCCCTGGCCCTGGCAGCCCCCTCTGCCCTTGTCTCTCTCCTGTCTCTGTGTCTCTCTGTGGGTTTCCGCCTCTCCTCTCTGTCTCTCTGCCTGAACTCTGTCTGAACTCAGGGGCTGGCCCCAGGTCCCGAAGCCCCTCACAGCAAAGGCTCTGGCTTGAGGAGATTTCTCCTGGGGCAGCCGCTGGACGCAGTTTATGATCCTCTTAATCTTTACTGTCTCCACAGGGGATCAGCCGGCCACACCTGCAGCCTTACCAAGGTGCCCGGGAGCCGGTCAGTCCCGCTACCCCATGCTGGTTCCTGGGCTACCCAAGGTGCCCGGGGCCCTCCTACCCTGTGAGCTCAGCTCTTCGCCATCCTGTGCCACATCTCCAATGGGGGTGTGAACTCCACTTCTCCCAAGGACTTTTTTTTTTGAGACAGTCTTGTTTGGTCACCCAGGCTGGTGTGCAATGGCACGATCTCGGCTCACTGCAGCCTCTGCCTCCCAGGTTCAAACGATTCTCCTGCCTCAGGCTCCCAAGTAGCTGGGACTATAGGTGTGCACCACCATACCCGGCTAATTTTTGTATCTTTGCTAGAGACGGGGTTTCACCATGTTGGCCAGGATGTTCTCTATCTCTTAATTGCAGGCGATCTGTCCACCTCAGCCTCCCAAAGTGCTGGGATTACAGGTGTGAGCCACTGTCCCCAGTGTCTCTCTCTCTTTTTTTTGAGACGCAGTTTCGCTCTGTGGCCCAGGCTGGAGTGCAGTGGTTCGATCCTCATTCACTGCAACCTCTGCCTCCCAGCTTCAAGTAATTCTTCTGCCTCACCCTCCTGAGCAGCTGGGCCTGCCACCAGCCCAGCTAATTTTTTAGTAGAGACAGGGTTTCACCAAGTTGGCCAGGCTGGTCTGGAACTCCTGACCTCAAGTGATCTGCCCACCTCCGTCTCCCAAAGTGCTTGGATTACAGGTGTGAGTCACTGAGCTGGGCTGGACTTCGAATCTTTTTGAGCTGCTTGGCACACCTCCGAATGTGAGAGAGTGGCCCGTGTGTGCCTATGCCTGTTCGGGTCCTACTGAGGTGCTCCCTTTGGGTTCTAGGTAGATCTGGCTCTGCCCCCCAAGTTCTCACTCCAATCCCTTGGAAAGAGACTGCTTGGGGCTCACGATTTAAGGATCTAGTCCCCCTGGAAGGCTAGCAGTCCCCAGATGGCAAAGAGTATGCTTCCAGAACTGGTCGCATAGGGTCTGAGGCTGGCCTGGAGGCAAGAGGCCAGAGGCCCCATCCTTGGAGCAAGCCCCAGGGCCCCACTGGGAGAGTGGAGAGAACAGAGACAAACCTAGTTCAAGTCCCTTCTCCATCACAGGCCAGCCATGTGTCCCTGAGAAAGTGACTCGACCTGTCTGAACTTCAGTTCCTTGCCTGTAAAACGGGATGCGGAAAGCATCTGTCCTGTGGGGTATTTGGGGAACCGAAGACGTGGTTCTGGAAACGTGTTTCAGTGCCCGGTACTCAGTGAGAACGTAATAAATGATGCGAGCGGTTGATATTGCTATTCTCCTTGCGGTAATTGAGACTCAGCAGCCTTTTCCTGCCTGCTCCTCCACCCCCAACCCCACTTGCTAGGCCCCTCCCTGCTCGGGACAGAGCTGAAAGCCCATGTTGTCTTGGAGGCGACCGCTTGTCCCCAGCAGACCTGAGCTCATCTCTGGGTGAGCTAGGGGGTGGGGGGTCTAGCTTCAGCGCCGGGGGGGGAAGGGGGGAAAGCATGAAACTTCTAGAGGGATCATGCAGTTAAGGGGGCAGGGGCGGGGCCTGGCCCTTATGTAAGTGGGGTTAACCCTCCCTGTGACAGAGAAGCACTATTGGGGATTTGGGAAGTCAGCTCGAGGGGCTTTGCAGGTAATCTGCTTTCTGGGGCCTCAGAAGATCGAGGCCACCGGGCTGGGTGCTCTCACTTGTCCTCCTCTCCTCCTTCCTCACCCCTCCCTGCCTCCTCTGCCAAAAAGCCCCTCAGGACAAGGTCTCCAGCTCCACCTAAGACGGAACCCAGGGCATCCTTTGTGAACTTGACTGGCCACTCGCTCCTTCCAGAAGCTGCTCTTTCCCATCTCTTCTGGAGCATGGGTCTCTGCCTTGAACTTGTCGTGGCCTCCATGTACCCAGAGGCCGGTCCCAGCAGCTCTTCCCACCCTCTCCTTGGACAGCCTCACACACTCACGGCCTCCGAGGCCACTTCACATCAGGCTCCTGCCTGCACCACTGCTGCAGCTTGCCCCAGTAGGCCCACTCGAGTTCCGCTGTGGAGTCCAGCTCCACCCACCACAGACCGACCCACCCGCAATCTGGGGGGCCGCCTGGAGCAAATGTGTGCAGGTTTGAAAATGCCTAAGGCTGAAACCAAGGATCTCAGACTCTGGTGGCCAGAGCCAAGGACAAACTGATGACAAAGGCACATCAGAGACAAATAAAATTAGCCAGGCATGGTGGCGCGTGCCTGTAGTCCCAGCTACTCAGGATAGTGAGGCCGGCAAATCGCTTGAACCCAGGAGGCAGAGGTTGCAGTGAGTAGAGATCACGCCATTGCACTCCGGCCTGGGTAACAAGAGCGAAACTCCGTCTCAAAAAAAAAAAAAAAAAAAAAAAGTGAGGTTCCTCTGAGATGGAAACAGGACAGCGCTATGTTGTTGTGGGAGCCAGGGACTAGGAGGAATCAGCAATGGTGGCATCACCATGCAAGTGTTCCTTGACATTCAGAAAGCAAGCATGCAGCGTTCTTACACAGATCCTTCAAACCTCACAGCAGCCCTGTAACGCACACTGGAGCTGACCTTACTAGCCTCAACTCACAGGTGGGGAGAAACGAAGTCAGAGAGGTTAAGTCATTTGCTTGAGGCCACACAGCTACTGAGTGGTGGAGGAGGTTGGGGATGGAGATGAGGATTTCGAACTGCGCCTGGTTCCGCGCTCAGCTTTGCCGACCCATGTCCAGCATCTCCGGAGAGACACCTGCAGGCCTGAGGGGGTGGTAGCTAGCAGGAGAGGAGGGGCAGCCTGTGGGGAGCCTAGGCTTCAGGGCAGGCTGGGTCCAGCACCCCACCTTCAGAGCCTGGCTATGTGGGCTTGAGCAAGTCACTCTGCCTCTCAGTTTCACGCTCTCTGCAATGGGGAGGATGGTGTCCCATTGGGCAGTTGTGATGGGATTAAAGGAGATGAACTCAAGGGACGAGGGCAGATGGAAGGGACAAGGACAGATGGAAGGGAGCAGGTGGGGCCAAAGCTATTGGAGGCCAGCGCTTCCTTCTCTCGGGGGCAGCAGGCGCAGGGGAGCTGCTGAGCAGTGCTGGCTTTGCCCCTCCTGGTCCATCTGCCCAGTCCTTGACCATCCCTGAAGGCCTGTCCCGGACTCACCTCCTCCAGGCTGCCCGCCCTGAGTCCTCAGGCCGCCTGTGCTCTCCGAGGGAGAGCTGGTCCGGATGCACATGTCGTCCTTATGTTGCACCTCACTCCAGGTCAACTTTCTCTCCTCCATCCAGATGGAAGATTCCAGGGAACAGGCTTAGAGTTTCGGGTTAGCCGGGCATGAGGATCCCACGGCGCTTCATGGACAGAGAATCCGTTTTCAAACTTCTCTGTATCTTCCTATATTCTATAGTGGGAATGTGTTACCTAAAATGGCAAAACAAAACAAATCACACAGGAAACCCGGTCCCATCGAAGTCCCCCCTGCCGTGTTTGACCTGCCCATTTTCATGCTGTTTCCTTTGTATCTGTCACTCCATCACTCGGATGCCAGCTGAAGTCCTCTCTGAGCCCGGCCCTGGGTTCTTCGGCAGGTCAGGCCGGCCAGAGCTGTGCCCTATGCACCATGCCAGGGGAAAGGAAGCCAAAGCCCAGAGGGGCCTGGGGGCTGGCGGGGGGGTGGTCTCCCTGATCTGTGATCACCAGATGCTGGGGCAGACGCCAAAGGATTACTCAGCCCAAAGCCCTGAATCTGCTGACTAAGCTGCCAGAGGCCACCTTATCACTAATACAATTATTCCCCAAGGGGACAGGTCAGCAACTTCCTCTGACTCCCAGGAGGCCTGGGCTGGGTGGGGGTGGAGTGAGAAGGCGTGATAGAGGCTGCAGGACTGACCTTCCCCTGCACCCTCAGGGCCCTGGCAAGGAAACCTCTGCCCTGGCCTCTCTAGGGACAGCGACTCTTCGGGCTGCTTGTTTGGGGCAAGCCTCAGTTGCAATACTGGGTCCCGGGAACAGGTTTCTTCCAGGATTTCTTTTCTTTTGTTTTTCTTTTTCTGTTTTTTTGAGACAGAGTCTTGCTCTGTTGCTTGGGCTGGAGTGCAGTGATGCAATCTCAGCTCACTGCAACATCTGCCTCCGGGGTTAAAGCAATTCTCCTGCCTCAGCCTCCGGAATAGCTGGGATTACAGGCACCTGCCACTGTGCCCAGCTAATTTTTCTATTTTTGGTAGAGACAGGGTTTCACCATCTTGGTCAGGCTGATATTGAACTTCTGGCCTCAGGTGATCCACCCACCTTGGCCTCCCAAAGTGCTGGGATTACAGGTGTGAGCCACCGTGCCCGTCCCTAGGAGTTTTCCTCCCTCCCTCCCTCCCTCTGTTCCCTCCCTCCCTTCCTTTCTTTCTTCCTTCCTTCCCTGTCTTGTTCTTTCTCTCTTTCTTTTTGAGACGGGGTCTTACTGTACATAAGATAGAGTTCAGTGGTGAGATCCCAGCTCACTGCAGCCTGTCTCCTGGGCTCAAGCAGTCCTCTCGCCCCGGCCTCCTTTGCTGGGCATACAGGTGCACACCATGCCTAGCTAACTTTTTAATTTTTCATAGAGACGGGGATTCCCCATCTTACCCTGGCTGGTCTTGAACTCCTGGGCTTAAGTGATCCTCCTGCCTCAGCCTCCCAAAGTGCTGTCACTACGCCTGGCCCAGGATTGATTTCTTAAACAGTCACCCACCCCCACAAATTCCTGCCCAACCCCCACCCCTAAATGTCTTCACCTTCTTCGAAGAATAGCTAGTGGTGAGTGCACAGGCCCTGGAGCTGAGGACTCAGCCATTCACTCCAGAAAACTGTCCCTTGGAAAATTTCACAAAGATTTAATTATCTGGATGTGCCTTGCAGCAATTTTGTAGACAACTGGCTAAATAAGGGATACCCCCTCCGGACAGTGGAATGCCAGGCAGCCATCGCCACTGGCGGAGTTCCTATATTCCTTTACGTGGAAATATGCCCACAACGTCTCAACTTCAAAGCCACTAACAAAATAGATGTGGATAGTTTGATTTCATGTGGCCCAGGGGAATTTCTGGCTGAAGATCATGGGACGCCTTTGTCCTTGGCAGGATCTAAGTGAATGGATGGTTTCTCTTTCTAGAGCAGGGAGTGGAAGGTGCGGGGCTGGGGGAGGCAGACGACACCAGCGCGGGGAGGCAGACACCAGCGCGGGGAGGCAGACAGACACCAGCGGGAACGTTTCTCAACAAAGCCTCTTTCTTCACTTTTCAAGATAACATTTAGAAATGATCAGATATTCCCCTGCACAGGTTCCCCAGCCCTTTGGCTAGTAAAGTCTTTTTACCCTTGAACTCTTGAAGGCCTGAGCAGAGCTGGCAGGGGCCTTGGCCATCCTGGGACAGGCAGGCAAAAAGTAGCCCTTTTGGAACCTGCACCATCTGCTGCTCCACCCTGGGTCACCCCTCCCTCCTTTGTACCTGGGATGACTGATGGGGATGACCTCCGGGAGGCGGCGGTCATGGCGAGCCAAGGTTGTGCTGCTGCGCTGTAGCCTGGGTTATGGAGAGAGACCGTGCCTCAAAAGAAAGAAAGAAAGAAAATAAATTGTTACGTGCCAGACACAGTTCCAAGTGTTTGTATGTGCAAACTCCTTTAATCCTTACAACACAATCAGACAGGCATTATCATTATTAGCCTAAAAATGAGACGGACATTACAGAGAAGTTAGACAGTTTGTAAGTGACGTAGCTGGGATTCCAACCCAGGCAGATGAACTAGTCATGTTAAGAGAATTTATCTGCTCAAGGGAAAGGGAGGAAAAAAAATGAGTATCATTTAAAAAATACAAAAACTTTCAAGCATTTACTAAAGAAGATCCTCTTCTCCATACACATCTTGTCTCTCTACCTGGACTTAAAGGAGAAAGTACATTTTCTGGGTTATGGAAAGTCACTTTTGAACTGGCATTTCTGTTTCCAGCTTTTCTACCAGCTGCAGATTCTTAAACTCAAACTGAAATAGAACTATGTTTGCTTTTAAAGGCACAGCTCTGGGACTGCATGGGTGATGGGGAGTTGCTGTGGGGGGCTGTGTGCATGCGTGTATCCCTGAAAGCATATGTCACATGACAATGGAGAGCCCCCCGAGATGACCGGGTTGCCACAGAGATGTCACTGCCTGTGTCATGTCTCTTGTGCTTTATTCTTGAGATCTGACACTATCGTAAGAGCTGCACGGATTTACAGAAATTTCTCCAATCCAACTGCTTAGCTGAGTAGTGTTCTACTGTAACATTTGGTGTATTTTCCTTTGTGGCTTTTGATATTGAAGTAAGCTATATTTTCTGGCATTCTTTTTTATTTTTTGAGACAGATTTTTGCTCTTGTTGCTCAGGCTAGAGTGCAGTGGCACGATCTTGGCTCACTGCAACCTCCGCCTCCCAGGTTCAAGCGATTCTCCTGCCTCAGTTTTCTGAGTATCTGGGGTTACAGGTGTCCACCACCACCCCAGCTCATTTTTGTATTTTCAGTAGAGATGGGGTTTTGCCATGTTGGTCAAGCTGGTCTCGAACTCCTGACCTCAGGTCAGGAAATCCCAAAGTGCTGGGATTACAGGCATGAGCCACCACGCCCAGCCTATTTTACCAATCTTTTATGTTTCTTTAGCATAAGGAATGGTTTATTTGTTAGTCCTTTTTCAAAACAATTTTTTTGAGACAGGGTCTCACTGTCACCCAGGCTGGAACACATAGTGCCATTATAGCTCACGGCAGCCTCAACCTGCTGAACTCAAGCGATCGTCGACCCAGCCTCCAAGGTAGCTGGAACCACCAGCTGTGCACTGTGGACTTCTGTGGACGTTTGGAATTATTTTGAAGATAAAATGTTTAAAAACCAATATATAGAACTAGAATATATTAACAGGTTGTTATTTAGTTTGTTATGACAATGGTCTTGTGGATGTTTAATTAAGAAATAATCCTGCTAGAGATATACTGTGAGGCATTTACAGGAGAAGCGAGTTAATGTCTTGGATTTGCTTTTAAAGGCTTTGGTGAAAGTTTTTGTTTGTTTTTTAATGAACGAATGAAAAGAGGGAGTAGAACTGAGAACTAAAGTTGGTGGTTGTTGATGTGGGTGATGGGGATCATGGGTGTCAAGGATCTTTTCTCTCTCATTGTGTTTGAGATTGAAATTTTACATAATAAAGAGTTTAAAATATGTATATACATACAAGCCTCCTACGTGAACAATGAAACAAGAGATGTGAGTGATGACTTTGGACGCACCTCTAGTCTGCTAGGCTTCCACCCTCCCCATTCTACTCTTTCTTCACTGCCCATCTTTTTTTTTTTTGAGACGGAGTTTCGCTCTTGTTACCCAGGCTGGAGTGCAATGGCGCCATCTCGGCTCACCGCAACCTCTGCCTCTTGGGTTCAGGCAATTCTCCTGCCTCAGCCCCCTGAGTAGCTGGGATTACAGGCACGCGCCACCATGCCCAGCTAATTTTTTGTATCTTTAGTAGAGACGGGGTTTCACCATGTTGACTAGGGTGGTCTCGATATCTTGACCTCGTGATCCACCCGCCTCGGCCTCCCAAAGTGCTGGGATTACAGGCGTGAGCCACCGCGCCCGGCACTGCTCATCTTTACCTTTCCTTGCAGCTTTGGAGAAGCTAAACTGAACGGGGTGACTCGGGAGGGAGGAAACCACCGGCGCTGCCAGGGAACAGGCGGGCCAGGCCCGCGCACCAGCGCCCCCTCCTGGAAGGAGAAAAGCGCAGCGAGCGGGGCGGCGCCACGTTGCGCTTCCTCCCACCTCCAGTGCTTCGCGCCCGTCTACACCCGGAGCTGGCTCGGCTCGGAATGTCCTTTCCCCTCTTCTCCAACCGACTCCTCACACTTCAAGACTGGGTCCAAGGTCTCTCCTGAGAGCAGACGCTCCATCATCGCTCCCCACATCCCAGGCCTATCAGAAACGATCTTACTCCTTGTTTGTGATCACCGGTCTCCTCCCATCCGCACAGAAGCTGTTAGTCGACCCTGTGTAAGGGCTTGATTTGACACGTAGAAGGAGCCTGATAATTATTTGTTGAGCGCCTAAGTGGATGGAAGCTTGCCCCAGTCCCAGCAGCCTGCGGCTTCTGCTCTCTGCACTGCCCGAGGCGCTGCGGGCATCTCTCCGGCCTCCTCCGGGGAGCGGTTCCAAGCACTCGCGGGCCCGCACACCCTTGGCCTCTGCGGACGTTCATTCTGCCATGAGAGGTTTAAAATGTATTTTAATAAAAGGCATTTACCTGGCCTGAACCGAAACGGGTGGAAGCAATGAGCTACTCGGTCCCAGGGCTTTCCTGGGTGCCCCAAAGATGTCCCATCACCCAGAGAAGCAGCCGCCCCGGGCATGAGACAGTCGTGTCCACCGCGTGCTGAGTGAAGGTGCTGGGAAGGGTGGGTCCTTCCGCGGTCTCTACCGGGTCTCCTCTGCTTTTGTCTTTTTCATAATTGGTCGGATTGTTTTTGAAGAAGTTTTTTTTCCCTTCCTAGAGAGTGACAAGTGGGTTCCAAGAGCCTCAGGTATGAGACTGTGCGTATTAGCTGGGTGGCCTCGGCCAAGTCTCTTCACCTCTCTGGACAGTTACTAAGAGGAAGTCGTGGAGCTAATAGGGGACTTTCACGTCTGGGTGAAGGCAGAGGAAGGAATCAAAGTACCTCTCAAGTTCTCGCCCAGATCTGATCAATTGTACCCAGAATCACAAAATAGCAGGTAGTTGAATTCACTTGTAATACCCTGAAAGGCCACAAGATAGAAGTGTTATTCCATTTCCCCAATTTCTAGCATAAAGGACTTGGGAATTTCTTCTTTGGAATTGCACCAAAGTAAACACTTCACTACTACTCACTCGCATCTCCAGGCCGAGGATTTAAGCTCTTGCTAAAGAACCCCAGCCGTTCCCTACAGCGCTTCATGCACAACTTTGCTTTATTCTATCGGAGCACCACAGAGGAACTGATCGACAGTCAGGAGACCATTGTCTAACGCGGAGGTGGCATTCCCGCCCTCTGGGAGTATCGCTCCATTGTGTCCTGATACACTGGCTCGTGTGTGTCAGAGCTCCTGAGATATTGCAAATATCCAGAAAACAGTTGTTGAGTGGAGTGGATGTTGGATTTGTTGAACTTAATCATGTAGTTGGCATTAAAGTAGACCATGTCATCTACAGAGGGATCCCCGTGTTCCCACAGGAACTGTTGAGATGAGTGCAAAGGCTGGAGACGGAAGCTTTGTTTATAATTTGGTTTCCTGTATTCTAGAAGTGTTTGCCTCAAGGCCCAGATTCTCAGGATTTGGGGATCAGTGAGCAGGAAGGGCACTGACTGAGTCAGGCGTGGGAGCAAGCCTCAGGTGAATCCTGGTAACCTACTATGGATGAGGGTCTCGCCATAGAAAGATGAGATTCTGCGGGCAGAGCTGCTTGGTCAGGAACCCCTGTCACGTTACCCTTGGCTGGTAGGAAAAGAAAGAATGAAAGCAACAGGATTAGGCAGACCTGGCTCAGGCAGGCAGGTTGTGTCATAAGCAGCAGACACTAGGAAGGGAGGCAGGGTGATGTGGAGGAGCCGGGGTGTTAACTTCTCGTGGCCCTGCCAGTCAGGGGAGCTGTAAAGGTACTTGGAGGAGATGGTAGAGAGCTGATGACAGAGAGTGGGAGTGATAATCAAGAGTGCATGGCCGGGCGTGGTGGTGCACACCTGTAATCCCAGCACTTTGGGAGGCCGAGGCAGGAGGATCACCTGAGGTCAGAAGTTCGAGACTATCCTGGCCAACATGGCAAAAACCTGTCTCTAATAAAAATACAAAAATTAGGCAGGTGTGGTGGTGGGCACCTGTAATCCCAGCTGCATGGAAAGGTGAAGCAGGAGAATCACTTGAACCTGGGAGGTGGAGGTTGCAGTGAGCCCAGATCATGCCACTGCACTCCAGCCTGGGTGACGAGACAGAAACTCCATCTCAAACAAACATGAAAGAAAAGAAGAGTGCATGGCTGGGTGTGGTGGTTCATGCCTGTAATCCCAGCACTTTGGGAGGCTGAGGCAGGTGGGATCGCTTGAGCCTAGGAGTTTGAAACAATCCTGGGCAGCAAAATGATATCCTTTCTCTACAACAACAAAAACAATAACAAAACCCCCCCAAAACAACAGTTAGCTGGGTGTGGTGGTGCACACCTGTAGTTTCAGCTACTTGGGAGGCCAAGGCAGGAGGATTGCTTGAATCTTGGGAGATCGAGGCTGCAGTGAGCTGTGATTGCACCACAGCCTGGGTAACAGAGCAGGATGCTGTGTCAAAAAAAAGAAAATGAATGAAAGAAGGAAGGAAAGAAAGGAAGAAAAGAAAGAAAGAGAAAAAAAGGAAAGAAAGAAGGAAGGAAGGAGAGAGAGGGAAGGAGGGGGGAGGGAGGAAGGAAAGAAGGAAGGAAGGGAAGAAAGGAAAGAAGGAAGGAAGGGAAGAAGAAAGAAAGGAAGAAAAGAGGGAGGGAAGGAAGGAAGGAAGGAAGGAAGGAAGGAAGGAAGGAAGGAAGGAAGGAAGGAAGGAGAGAGAGTGTATGCCCTGAGCCTGAGAGCCAGAAAACTAGTTTGGACACAACCCTGCGTGCTGTTCCCGGTGATGTGCTCACCACCAGCATAAATGAACTGGACATTCCTGAATCCTGGCTGGACCATCCTGCCAGGGCCTGTGCACGGAGGAGCCCTGGTGACCACCATGAATGGCCTGGGCAGGTCACAACTAGCTGTTTGATACCTTGATTGCCTGTGGCAGCCAAGGAATGCTCTGCCCTTCCTGAGTGGGTGGCTGCAGGTGGCGCACTGGAAAGGCTGCTGTGAATCGCCCCATGCACCACGCTGTTAGTTATTGCAGTGTTGTGCGCACTTGAGTAGCACTCAGGTAACTTTTAAGGGAAAATAGTTATTTCACTGCCCTTCACTGTTGAATTAAATAACGTTTAATTATAATATTGTGGTCATAAAACTAAGTAGAAGGGGTACACATGATATAACTGTATAATCAAAATGAAATTGCTAATTAAATCAAAATACAACTTCAAAACACAGAGTTAAAACCAACAAGTTTGATAAGATAAGAGAACGCTTTGCTGAAACCCAACTGCTCCTTATGGCATAGATGTAGGAACTTACCTGATGGTGCAAGTCCTCATGGGCTAGGTGGGTAATAATTAACTCGAAATTAAGAAATTAAGCTAATTCTTCCCATATTAGCTCAGCTCGTTGCATTTAAAGCGATACTACCTGAGTCTGCTGCTGGAATTAAATGTGGTGTTGAGATAGGAGGTAATAAAGACAAATATGAGGAAACTCTACATGGTGTGTCAGGCACTTTGGGAGGCTGAGGTGGGAGGATCACTTGAGCCCAGGAGTTTGAGACTAGCCAGGACAACATAAGAAGACCTTGTCTCTATGAGAAAAAAAAAAAAAATTTAGCCGGGCATGGTGGCATGTGCCTGTAGTCCCAGCTACTTGGGAAGCCAAGGTGGGAGGATCGCTTGAGACCCGGAGGTGGAGGCTGCATCCGCTCCAGCCCGGATGAGGTAGTGAGACCCTGTCTCAAAAACAAAAACAAAGCAAAGCAGAAAACATAGATTAGGAGTGGAATATATGTTCCGCTCCTAAAAACACAAAATTAGGCCAGGCACGGTGGCTCATGCCTGTAATCCCAGCCCTTCAGAAGGCTGAGGCAAGTGAATCACCTGAGCTCGGGAGTTCGAGACCAGCCTAACCAATATGCAGAAACCCCATCTCTACTTAAAATACAAAACTAGCTGGGTGTGGTGGTGCATGCCTGTAATCCCAGCTACTCGGGAGGCTGAGGCAGGAGAATCGCTTGAACCTGGGAGGCAGAAGTTGCGGTGAGCCGAGGTCATGCCATTACACTCCAGCCTGGGCTGTAACTAGGGTGAAACTCTGTTTGTTTGTTTTTTTTTAATTCTCATGGAAAACTTGAGACTCCTGAATAATACTGTTTTATTAAATTCTCTCCCCAGGCATGGGATTACTAAGTGAAAGGCTACATTCAGTTTCACAGCTCTAGCCTCCAATGCTAACGGTTTAACCCAGGAAGATAGGTGTTTTGCACACAGTCAAAGCAGGTGCACGAATCCACAGCTGACATCAGCCTGCTGGCCCTAGTCGAATCCTGTGGCTCCTCTGCCCAAATCCCTTACTGGCTGCTAATCTCACTCAGAGTGAACCCCAAGTCTTTCCCTAGGCCCCCAAGTCATCTGACTACACCTCCACCCCTGCTTCCCCTTGTCCTCCCCAATCTGAACACTGTCCATGCCCTGGCTGCCACTTTTGGACATGTCCCTGCCCTACCAGGGACACCCCTACCCAGGTATCCACGTGGCTGGCTTGTTCCACACCCCCTAACCATCCTAGTTCAAACTGCAGGCCCAACCCTGTCTCTGCCTCTCCTTATCCATCTTTTCTGCTTCGCTTTGCTTTTGTTTTTGAGACAGGGTCTCACTACCTCATCCGGGCTGGAGCGGCTGCAGTGCAGTAGCAAGCTCACTGCAGCCTCCACCTCCTGGTCTCAAGTGATCCTCCACCTCGGCTTCCCGAGTAGCTGGGATCACAGGCACGTGCCACCATGCCCAGCTAGCCTTTTCCTTTTCTCATAGAGACAAGGTCTTCTTATATTGTCCTGGCTAGACTCAAACTCCTGGGCTCAAGTGATTCTCCCGCCTCAGCCTCCCAAAGTGCTGGAATCACAGCATATCATGCCTGACCATCATGTAGAGTTTCCTCATTTATGTCTTGATTTTCTGTCTCCCTCCTTAGGGTGGAGGCTCCCTGGGGACAGTCTTATGCCACCTGGTTTACTGCTACATATTCAGTGACTAGCATACTATCAGGCACGGGTAGATGTTCAATTAATATTTGTTGAATGAATGAATGAGTGAGTGGGTGATTGCCACGAGTCGGGAGGCATAGAGGCTGTTGGGATATAGTGAATCCCAAGGGAGAGTAGCTGAGTTCTGAGGCAAACAGAACTCTGAGTCAGGAGCAGGCTGAGGTAGACTCATATCCCTTCCCTTGAATCCGGGCATGCCTATGGTTGGCTTTGACCAATAGAACAAAACAGAAGTTTCGTCTGAATGATTCGTACAACACTTACGAGGTCAGCGTCTCACAGCACCTGCCACACCGTCTTCCTCACAATCTTCTACCAACAGAAAGAGCCTGAATCACTCTTGACTTGCCTTAAAATGGCCACAATGAAAACAGCAGTGCCTCTGGCTCTTATCAATGGGGCCAAACTTGAGAATTGGCTTGCAGGACCCAAACCTGGATGGATGGGCTGAGGATGGAAAGGGCTGGAGTCACCAAGAGTGACGGCTGCATTGCAGTGGTGCTTCTCTCCTGCCTCTTGCCGCTACAGAGGCCCATTGGTGGCTTTCCAGTGTGCCTCCAGGACAGGCAGGGGACAGGGATGACTGCCCATCCCCGGGCTCAGCAGACCCTCTGAGGTCACTGAGGTAGGCCAGGTGGTGGAGTGAGTGAGAAGTGTGAGCCTTTCCCTAGGTTACCGTGCCAGGGGTTCCAGATGCAGGAGGGGTGCTTACACCCAGGCCTGAGAGATCTGGCAGCTCTTCCTTCCTTCCTGTTGCCTATTCGTCATCCAGAGAGACCCATGAAGAGGCCACATGGAGACGGAGAAGCAGGGAACAGGGTGGCAGAGAGACCTGAGGCTCCCTTGGCAAACCATTTCAACCATCTCAGCCTGAGCGTCATCAGACCTGAGAATGAATGAGCCAGCCTGGAGGGTCCAGCCCTGGCAGTTACCAGTGTGTGTGTCCTGGCCACATTCTTGACCCAGAGAATCATGAGAACTAATACAATGGCTATTTGTTATAAAGCAAGAGATAACACAAACGGGGACATTACCTGGGTGTGTCAGGTGCGTGCAGGGGGCACGGTTCTGGGTTCAGGTGAGCCACAGGCAGGGAGGGTGGCAGACGTTATTCTGGTGGCACTGTCGGGGCACAGGTGGAGGAGCCGCCACTTCTGCTGTCTGGGTGAGAGCGTCAAGGCTGACACTGGCATCAAGTTCAAGCATATTGGATTCTTTGGGTCCCAGCGGTTCTGTCCCCCACCTCCTCGGCCAGCCTCTAAACAGGATTGTCCCTGGGTTTAGAAGAACAGAGTTTTGGAATCCACGTATAAAAGCAGGATGTAGAAACAGATGGCTTCTGAAGCTTTTTCCCTGGAGGCAACAGTGTGTGTTTTCGTGTGCGTGTTGGTGTGTGTGTGCATGCATTTCAGTGCATGTGTATGCCTGTATGTGTGTGCGTATGAGTGCATGTGTGCATGAGTGCATGGGCACATATGTATGTGTATGAGTGCATGCGTTTGTGTATATGAGTGTGCATGTGCATATGTGTGCTTGTGCATGTAATTTACCTTGCTTACCTGTACCTGGAAGTTGAATGAGCACCCATGTGATCCTTATCAGGTAAATTTAAAAAACACAGCCAAAAAATAGTTCTTTCTCCCCATCCCCCTTTTGTTCTGTATTTCCGCTTCCCACAACTTTCTATTGTAGGAAATTGCAAACTTCAGAGTAGTAGTATAATGGGCATCACATACCCCTCACTGATATTGTCCAGAATACATGTTACCTTATCTGTGTGCGTGCTTTCTCCATACACACATGTGCACACGCGCACACACACACATACTCACTTTCAGTGACCCATTTGAAGGTAAACAGCAGCTCATGACTTTCCTAGATACTGCAGGCGTGTGTACTCCTGTTTGGCCAAACACCATCCTCAGTCCAAGAAGATTTACATGGATTCAACGATGTCATTTTTTTTTCTCTTGAGACCGAGTCTTGCTCTGTCGCCCAGCCTGGAGTGCAGTGGCATGATCTCGGCTCACTGCAACCTCCGCTTCCCAGGTTCAAGCGATTCTCATGCCTCAGCCTTCAGAGTAGCTGGGATTACAGGTGCCCGCCACCATGTCCAGCTAATTTTTGTGTTTTTAATAGAGATGGGGTTTTGCCATGTTGACCAGGCTGGTCTTGAAGTCCTGGGCTCAAGCAGTCCACCCACCTCAGCCTCCCAAAGTGCTGGGATTACAGGCATGAGCCACCATGCCCAACCAACAATGTCATCTTAAATACAGTTTATATTCAAATTTTCCCTTTCCTAAAAGTTTCTTATCAATTTTTTTTTGGCGGGGGGTTCTGTCTTTCTTTCCCTCTTTTTTTTTTTGAGACAGGATTTCACTCTGTCACCCAGGCTGGAGAGCAGTGGCTCTAACTTGGCTCACTGTAACCTCAGCCACCCAGCCTTAAATGATCCTCCCACTTTTGCCTGCTGAGTACCTGGGATTACAGGTGTGCACCACCAAACCCAGCTAATTTGTATTTTTGTAGAGATGGAGTTTTGCCACATTGCCAAGGTTAGTTTCGAACTGCTGAGCAATCTGCCTGCCTCAGTCTCCCAAAGTGCTGGAATTACAGGCGTGAATCACCATTCCTGGCCCTCACTGTCTCTTAAAGTATCTTTTCTTACTGTTCAGCTTCTCTGATTACTGGAAACATATAATTTTGAACCAAGTCTGACTCCCGGTCACGTCCCTCCCCTGGTCTGCTAGAGGAGCCCAGGTTCTTGTCATCTGTCCCTGATGATCCTTGAAATTGAAGGTTGAAGACAGTACTCCCTCCAGAACCCCTCCATCCTGGTCATCATCCTGCCATCTTCTGGGCTTTTCCTGGATGGTCAATAATCCTTACGATGTGTGGTCCCTGGAACTGGAGGCTGAGGGTCCCAGCCTGGGTCTGATCCTCGTGCAGAGCAGGCTCACTGCCTCCCCCAGTGGGGGGTGCACTCCTCTGGAAGCAGACTAAGATCATATGGGCCGCACTGAGCCTGGGTGGGATCAACAGTGCTGCACTTTTTCATCCGGTCCTTGCGTGATCTGTGCCCACTGACTGAAATTGATGTGGAGAAAGAGGTTGGAACTAGTATGGGCTGGAATCATATAACGTGCCAGGCCCTGGTGAGACGGAGGTGGCAAAGAGACAAGCCTCAGCCTCTAGAGGAAGTGGACTGTGGAATCCTAGCACCCCCAGGTATTAGCTGGGGCACCAAACCTCTCTGAGTCTCAGTAGTCTCATCTGTAGAAGGTAACAATATTCGAACCTCATAGGTTTTCTGTGAAGATGAAATGAGCTCGTGTGTGTAAGTGTGTTCAGCAGAGCGGCTGGCACCTGGTGGACTCCTGTATTGAAGGGTTGAAGAGTAAGTGGAATTTTGGGGTGCTGGTTGCCCAACACTATGGTTGCTTTAAATGCCAGTGAATTGTACATTTGAAAATGGTTAAACTGGAGGCCGGGAGTGGTGGCTTATGCCTGTAATCTCAGCACTTTGGGAGGCCGAGGCCCGCAGATTGAGCTCAGGAGTTCAAGACCATCCTGGGCAACATGGTGAAACCTCATCTCTACTGTAATACAAAAAATTAGCCAGGTGTGGTGATGCATACCTATAGTCCCAGCTATTGGGGAGGCTGAAGCACCAGAATTGCTTGAGCCCCAGAGGCAGAGGTTGCAGTGAGCTGAGATTGCACCACTGCACTCCAGCCTGGGCTACAGAGTGAGACTCTGCCTCAAAAAAAAAAAAAAAAAAAGGAAAATAAAATAGTTAAAACAGTAAACTTTGAGAGGAGAGATCCAAGATGGCTGATTACTAGCAGCTCAGGATTGTAGCTCCCAGTGCAAGTGCAGAGAATGAGAGGATACCACACTTTCAGACGAATTTTTGTTGCTCATGGACCTGGAGATTCCCAGCGGAGGAGCCCCACGGGTTGCCAGTGCAACTCTTGTGGCTGGTGCGGCAGTTTTGCTGGCGCCCTGGCGCGGTGGTTCTTGGTGCAAAGTAAATGGGACTGGCTCCCCTTTTGGTCGGCGTTTGGAGCTCCGGGAAGGCAGAGTTGCGTATTCAGCTGAATGAAAAAGGGACTCAAGAAGGAAGCCAGACTGGAGATTCCCAGGCAGAAAAGCACCATGAATCTTAATGCTGCTGTTTTAGCCAGTGCAGTGGGTTGCTCAGATTTTGGCGCTGGGAATCAACAAATTGGATGTCCACTCAGAGACCTAATTTGAAAGTCAGTAATTACTGACTAACAGAATTAGGCTTCAGAAAGTGAATAATAAGAAACTTTTTTGAGTTAAAAGAACATATTCTAGCCCAATGTAAAGAAACTAAGAACCTTGAAAAAATGTTTGATGAAATCCTAACGAGATTAGACAATCTAGAGAGGAATATAAGTGAATTAATGGAACTGAAGAATACAATACGAGAACGCCACGAAGTATGCACAGGTTTTAACAGTTGAATTGATCAAGCAGAAGAAAGGATATCAGAGGTCGAAGACCAACTTAATGAAATGAAATGAGAAGACAAGATTAGAGAAGAAAGAGTAAAAAGGAATGAGCAAAGTCTCCAAGAAATATTGGACTATGTAAAAAGACCTAATTTACGTTTGATAGGTGTACCTGAATGTCATGAAGAGAATGAATCCAAGCTGGAAAATATTCTTCAGGATATTATTCAGGAAAACTTTCCTAACCTAGTAAGGCAGGACAATACTCAACTCCAGGCAATACAGAGAACACCACAAAGATATTCCTCAAGTAGAGCAACCCCAAGACACATAATTGCTAGATTCACCAGGGTTGAAATAAAGGAGAAAATTCTAAGGGCACCTAGAGAGAAAGGTCAGGTTACCCATAAAGGGAAGCCTATCAGACTTACAGCAGATATCTCAGCAGAAACCCTACAAACTAGAAGAGAGTGGGGGTCAATATTCAGTATCCTCAAAGAAAAGAATTTTCAACCCAGAATCTCATATCCAGCCAAATTAAGCTTCATAAATGAAGGAAAAAAATTTTTCACGAACAAGCAAGCACTCAGAGATTTCATCACCACCAGGCCTGCTTTACAAGAGCTTCTGAAAGAAGCACTATACACAGAAAGGAACAAGCAGTATCAGTCATCCCAAAAACTTACCAAAAGGTAAAGAGTATCTCCATAATGAAGAATCTATATCAACTAATGGGCAAAATAGCCAGCTAGCATTAAATGACAATATTAAACTCACAAATATCAATATTAACCCTAAATTTAAATGGATTAAATGCCCCAATCAAAGACACAGACAGGAAAATTGAATAAAAAAGTCAGAACCCATCAGTATGCGGTATCCAGATCCATCTCATAAGCAAGGACACACAAAGACTCAAAACAAAGGGTTGGTGGAAGACTTATCAATCAAATGGAGAGCAAAAACAAAAACAAAAACAAAACAGGAGTTGTAACTTTCGTCTCTGACAAAATAGACTTTAATAGTAACAAAGACTAAAAGAAACAAGGACATTACATAATGGTAAAAGGATCAATGCAACAACAGTAGTCAATGATTATAAATATATATGCACCCAATATAGGAGCAACCAGATACATAAGACAAGTTCTTAATGACTTATAAAGAGACTTGGACTCCCGCAATAATAGCAGGAGACTTTGACACCACATTTGTTAATATTCAATGGATCAATGAGATAGAAAATTAACAGGGACATCTATGATTTGAACTCAGACATGAAACAAGTAAACTCAGTGAATGTTTATAGAATTCTTCACCTCAGGTCCACAGAACATACATTTTTCTCAGTATCACATTACACCTATTTTGAAAGTGACCACATAATTGGAAATAAATCACTCTTCAGCCAAAAAAAAAAAAAGAAAAGAAAAGAAACAGTAAACTTCATGTAAAGTGGATTTTTACCATGCACAAAGAATGAATGGAAGTTTTCCAGGCAAAAAGGTGGATGGGAGGGGCGGGCGATAGCATTTTAGGCATAGAGCTGGTTTCTGAGTTATTGGTGACAGGACAGAGTTATTGGCTTTCCAGGACAGAGTCACAAACAGAGCTTCAAGCCTGTGCTCGAGACAGCTCTCTAGGCCAGGGTGAACTTCAGCTGGCGTCACTGTCTCAGTCACACTGTATTTCGCACCAAGATCGCCTGAAAGATTTTCCCCATCCCCCTTTTGTACTGTATTTGGCTCAAATCAAGACCCAAGTGAAGTCAGCTAGAGGGAGCTGGAGGAAGCTTCAAAGTTAAAGACAGAGCCCCACCAAACCAGCAGAGTGGGTGTCAAGCTATTCTGCACGATATGAGTACCTGGGGGAGACTTAAGGAAATTCATGTGGGATTGCACCCTGGGGCGGTGCGCACGCCTGAGGACTTCACTTTTAGCTTCTCGGGGAATGCAGCCTAACACAGGACCCGGGTAAGTAGGTGGGCTCATGTTCTTTCTATCTAAGGCACATCTTGTTCTCTCACGGGCCCGGCTCCCCCTCAAGCACCCAAAGCCAATGTCTACAAGCCACTGACCTCTAAAGGGTCCGAGTCTTCTTTTTAGAGGGGACTATTTGCAGGAGAACAGAATGTGAATGAGGCCAGAGAAAGCACAAACTTGTCAACAAAGCAGATATTTCAACTGGTTTATTGTTTCTTTACAATAATAAAAATAAATTAGTCACACACAAAAATAGTTGTCATTTTTGCTGAGAACAGACCATATTTACCCACATAATTCAGCTTCTACCCTTCACCTGCTTACGTAATAATTTAACACTTTGAGGGGACATGGAAGTGATGGAGTCTTGAGTGGGTTCCTTGCTCCTGGCTGTGCAGTTCACAGGCCAGCCACCTGCCTTGGGCCCAGGTCCCCAGCAGGGACAGTGGAGGTATCAGGACAGTAAGTGCTGCCACCTCCCTCTCAGCCACTCCCTGTCCCTGCCAGCCACCTGCCTCATCCACAGCTCTAACCAAGCCTCCCGAGCAATTGACGCTGCCGGTCCAAAAATGGGACAAAGTGAAGAGAAAAGGGGTAACACCCTCCCATTTCCTTCTCCAAATGTCTGTGGATGAGGGGAAGGCAGATTAGATGAGGAAATATAACATTTAAGATGAAAAAGTGGCAATCAGGTTCAGGTACAACGCTCCCTGAATGAGTCGAAAAGCAGGTATTTGATCTTAAACCCTGGGGAACTGCACTGATTTGCATACTGAACAGTTGTAACTATGGACTGAGAAAAAGACATCAATCGTTGTACAGCGACACTCCAGGAGGCTGGGTTAGTACGGTCAAATGATTTCACACAACTGTGGATCGCATATGTAAATAAATACCTATCAGGTCCCTTTAAAATTAACACATTCTAAATAATAGAACTGTTTTGGTGTATGACTCATTCTGCAGATAGAGTTCAGAATACATATTTCCTATAAACATCTTGTATTTACAGAGAACAAAATAATAAGTTATAACAAAGTATATCCTTCTCTCAACTGAGTCATAGGGAGGAGTCAAGGCAGGGGGTGTTAGTTTTGTGTAGCAGGTGGCTTCCCTCTCGCAAGACAAAGGGCTGAGAAAGTTGGCTGGAAGTTTTCACCATCCTGTGGCCACTTCTCCTCAGCACGATGGGCACCCCCACCCCCCACCATTATCTGCTGAAAAGAACAGGAATGGGGGGTAGTTCAGGGTGAAGAGAGTTACCTTGCCCCTGCAAAGGTGCAGGAACCCAAGAGCTGAGAAAGAGTGATGGTACCTACAGGGTCCTAGGCCAGTCATGGCTCTGATTCCACTACAGTGAGTGACCCTGGGCAGGCCCCCTGCCAACCTGCTGTTTGGTTACTCCTCTATGCAGAAGGCGGCTCTGACCAACTTGCCAGTGTTTCTCTGAGACATGAGGCCACATTCAGCTCAGGGTTTCAGTCCCACAATGGGCTCTCCATGGCTGACAGCGGGGGCACAAGTCAGAAATATAAAAGCTATGTACTTGCCCTCACAGACCAGACGAATCACCTAAAGCTTTTCTACTTATAGATGCTCCTAAGCCCCAAGTGGGGAGGGCCCTGCGCATCACGCTGCCCATCCAGACACCTGAATCCCCTCTCCAGCATCCCTGACAAATGGCCTCCACTGCCACCTCCAGTGATGGGTGGGGTCACCACCTACCAGAGTCCCTCTCTTTCTGGAAGGCTTCAGCTTGTGAAAAGCTGGGTCTCTGCAGGAGCTAAACTTACCTCCCTGTAGCTTCTGCCTCCTGGTCCTAGGAGAGCTCTTCTTGTGCCCAAGTCCCTTTTCCAGCCTGAAGGTTCTTATGAAGTCCTTCCTGCTGTATCTGAGCCCTCCATCAGGATAGGGAATTGATACACTGACGTTACAGATGATCAGTATTCTTCTTAAAGCGTGGTTCTGGCAAATGCAAACAAAATGTGGTATGACCCTCACCACTGTTCTCTCACGTAGCCTGCTTGTCTGTGGGGTTTTCTCTGCAGGGTTCCATCCCACCTTCTTGACTCACACTGAGCTTGGTCAACTGAAATTCTTGCCTCTCTCCCAGCTTGTATTTATATACTTTTTGTTTTATTCTAAATATAGGACTTTATGTGGATTTCTGGTGACTTTTTAAGATCCAAGTTTTATTCTAG